AGGTGCTGGTGCCATGTGCCTGGTTGTGAGAGGGGTGGCCGGTCCCTTTCTCCATGCCCTGGGTCCCTGGGCGGGCCCCGAGATGCTGGCGTGGTGTGCCTGGTTGAGGTAGGGCGGTCTGGTCCCCTTCTCCATTCCCCAGGTCTCTGGGTGGGTCCCAAGGCACTGGCGCCATGTGCCTGGTTGNTTCATATTTTTAGGTGTTATAATTTGGTAATAGACACTGTGTGTGTATGTGTATATTATATATAGTATATATAAATATGTAATAGTTTAAGATTAATTTTGTTAAATTCCTGTAACATGGTTCCTTGAGATTTTTGCTTTATTTTCCTAGTTATTTTCTGAAGGATGTTTCCAATTTATATGCCGTTATCAACAGAGTACTGTATATTATGAATGTATAGTAGCTGTTCATAGTGTAAGGGGATCAAAATATGCCACCCCCAAATATGCTGCTTTGGCATATTGATTATTTTGAGTTAAAGGCGTTAAAACACAGCATATGCAAGAAGGGCCCTGTGACCTTCCATTTTCTTTCCGAAAGCAGGAGATAAAACTTCCATATGAAAGGTGCCCTCTCTGTACCAGGAGAAAGGAGGACATTCTTATAACCAGAAATGGGGAGTCAAGACTGAGAGAAATCCATACAAATCAACCTTGTTAAACCCTTATCTTCCTAGTCACTTTTCCACAATTAACTGCTCTAGCCCAACCCCTCTGTCTCATCACGTTTTCACAATTTATTACTCTTTTTCCAACCTAGCATACAAGAGTTAGGCTCTAACTGCATCTTTGGGTCTTCGTTTTTCTTGTGAGGGCTCCCATGTACATGTAAAAATTACTAAATAAAATTTGTTTGCTTTCCCCCTGTTAACTTGTCCTATGTCATCCTGGCCGGAGACCCTAAGAGGGTAGAGGAGAAATTGTACTTCCCCTACAATAGGCTAGCAAAACTTAAAAAAATATGTGTAATAAAAAAGTGTGGCTTATTTGTTTTCATACACCCGGATTTCAGGCACACCAAGTCCGGGAAGATTAGGTGCACTGAAATCTAGGTAACCTCGTACTTAACATTTGTAGGCCAGTTTGTATAAAGAACTTGAGTATAAAGNTCCCACCTTCATGAACTCTTTAGGTCTCTTGCCCTCTTCCCCTGAACTCCAGCGGCCCCAGCTTGGCTGATGTTACATTTTTATAGTTATAAATTTGGTTGATTTGTGGGAGAGAGTGATGCTGGGGACCTCTATTCCACCATCTTGACCGGAACCTATTATCACAGTTTTTACTTGGCTATTGCAATAGCTCTCTGAGTCAATCTCATTCCCTACTCCCCCTTCCCATCCTACATCTCTACATATTTCTGTACAGCTCTTATTTTTGTTTTTAATGGTTTATTAGTCTTTTTTGTGTTGCTATAACAGAAATACCTGAGACTGGGTGATTTATAAAGGAAAACAAAATTTATTGTTTACAGTTTCCGAGGCTGGGAAGTCCAAAGTCCATCTGGTGGTGGCGACAGTGACCCATGGGTCTCACATTGCAAGGTGGTGGAAGCACAGAGAGCAGAGAGAGCAAGAGAGACATACTCTCTTCTTTTAAAGCCCTCAGAACCACGCCCCTGA